TTCCTGCTGGCTTTCTGTTCCTGAAAAGCCTTTTAAATGGAATTGAAATGTAAGCAAATTTATTTTTTTTCTTTTTAATAGTGAAGTGGACTTGTTTTATCTCTCCATAAGAAGATGTCACATTAATGATAGAAGCGTATCTGCTGAATGTATTTTTGAGCTTCTTTTGTTCCCCTTGGTTCTTAATCATATGCACCTTCCTGAAATGGCTCAGTGTATATTTCTTCTATCTTTTTATGATACTCATTTTCAATTTGAACTTGCATGGGAGAAATTGCTGGCCTGTTTGGCAGTTGGACCCTCGCCTGTGGTGACTAATATGAGCTTCTTCACTGTCTCTGCACAGTTGTAGGCAGTTTGATTCCTGTGTGTTCCGTCTGGTGAAGTCCAGGAGCACAGTTTCCCTTTAATGAACAGACCAGACAAACTCTGGTGAACTTGTTATTCTCGTGACAGGAAGCAGAAAATGTAGGAGGTCCTGAGTTCTGTGGCTGGATACAAAACAAGTTAAGAAGAGGGATAGGACAACTGCTGTTTTAGATGGCGTGTTCCTGACTTCTTTTTAGTTGAATGGATCCTTTGAAGGTTTTTGTGAATGAGAGTGGCATGAACCTACATGTGTTTTCAGGAAAAATAATCTGAGAGGCAGTGTTTGGGGAAGATTAGAGGTAAAGTGCAAGGAAGTTACTGAAACACCAGAATGGCTCTGGTAGCCTCACTAGGCTGCTAGGTAGGAAGCTGAAATCCCAGACATGCAGTGTTCGAATCTACCATCTGCTACATGGGAGGAGAGGCAGTCTTCTCCTATATGATTAATGGTTGTTGGAAACCACTGCAGGGTTAGATATGGGTTGCTTCAGACTCAGTGGCACACAGCAACAGCAATGATGATGAGATAAGGAGCCTTGGCGTTGCATTGGGTTAAATATTGAGATGCTAGCTAGAAAGTTGGCCGCTCAACTCCACCAGCTGCTCTGCAGAAGAACAATGCAGAACAAGTCAGCTTCCTCAAAGATTTACAGCTTTAGAAACCCTGTGGCGCACTTCTTCTCTTTCCTTTAGTCAGTATGAGTCAGTGATGGTGGGTTTGTGAAGATAATAAAGAATTTTAAAGGAGGCATTGGATTTGGCTGCATTGATGGAATTTGTCAGCAATGCCATATTGGAAGTAAAATGGTTTTGGGGAGAAAAAACAAGCATAAGTTTGCAGTATTTTAGGTAACCAATGCTTTTCCCAGCATAAAAAAAAAAAAACCAAAAAACAAACAAACAAACAAAACCCAAAAAACAAACAAGAATAGGATTGAGAAAAAAGGAGCAATAGATAGTGAATATATTACACAGGAAGCAATTGAAAATTTAAGAAGCACTTGAGATAGCGGAACAAAGCCAATATATTTGCTGTAATTAGAATTGAAGTAGCCTAAATTATTTGCTGCTTCCCCCCCCCCTTTTTTTAAATTATTTCTTGTATGTGTACCATCAAATCAGATCTAACTGGTACAGGAGGAGATTATTGCCCCTCCTTCTCCAGCAGACCATCTGGTGGATTCGAACCGTGCAACTCTGGGATTGCAGTGCAGCTTCTTGCTGCTAGGGAAATGTGTGCACCTTTCAGTGGGATTGTGCTTTTGTTTTTCCTCTATTATGTTTAAAAAACACTTGATAAAGTATAGTAGATTGATTTACATGCATAGATTTCAAAGTTAGGATGGAAATGGGAATAAACTGGGAAACTGGTGCACCTTAATGACATAATGTGCAATTGGTATGTTTTTATGGCACTTTGAAGCCATCATTCTCACCTTGCTCATGGCTGGGAGTAGGAGGAAAGTGAGGTGCAAGTGAATGAAATGACATCAGTGTCACCTCAGTAAATGAGCCAACTAGAGAAAGCAGGTCTCTGTTCGTCGAATTTTTGTAGTGTTTCACTAACCACTACTGTCAAGTTGATTCCAACTACTAGTAGTGACCATGCAGGACAGAGTAGAACTGCCCCATAGGATTTCTGAAGCTCTGATCTTCATACAGGCAAATTACTTCATCTTTCTTCCCCTGGTGGAGTTGAGTCACTTTTGATTTGAAGCCCAGTGCCTAACCCACTGAGTCATCAGAGATTCTTAGTGTTCTGAAGACAACTTTTAGCTTGATCAAATGAAAAAAAGAATTTTGCTAGTCATCCATCTCTATTTCCTAGTAAGATGTCCCTCATTTTAGTATGTTCTACAAAACTTGAGGGGAGAAATATGCTGGTGTCAAATGAAGGCAAGCCTTTTCAGGAATCTAAAAATAAAGTATTGAACTGTTGTTAAGAATTTGAGGTTTAGTGCTTTAAATTCCAAGGTGTGCATTAGTCATCGCTTATAAAAATCGTTCTAGTAGCTCATTTATGTCTGAACTTTAATGTACTTACGGAGCAGCCCACCTTCTTTGGGGAGTATATGATAAAGTAAGAAATGAGAGAACCCTTTTGCAGAAATTCGTGCATTGGGGAACTGCTTTACTTCACCCATGGATCAGTAAGGGGTGAGAATGGTAAGTATTATGCTTTTTATTTAAATTTGTAGCTTTTAGTCTGCTAATGAAGGTTGGTTGGTTGGTTTTGTGGGGTTTTTTTGTTTGTTTTTTGGGTTTGTTTTTTTTTTTTTGTAACTGTACTTCAATCTTGTGGCAAATCTCTGGTGCTATTTTTTAAAAGTTTGATAAAACAAAGCTATTCCACCTAGATCTTTCAATATACTTTAAATAGCTCTTATTAGTGGGTCATTTCCAGCAAAGGATCAGTGTGGAAAACTTATTGCAAAAGGCTGATTTTTAGTCTCACCACTCTTTCCAGTGATGTAGTAGTCAGTTTGATTCCTGTGTATATTTCATCATTTTTGGTCTATTTGCAGTAAATAAGTTGGTCACACAATTTCATCATCTGATCTCTGGCCTATTTCTATCACCATGGCTGTATTTTCCAACTACCAATTTCCCATAGGCTGCCAAAAGAGCAAGCAGATGCCTGTTAACATATATAGGGATGGAAACAGCCCAATTGTCCAACCACAACTGAAAGGATTAAGAAATTGTGGTATGCAGCAATGAATAAATGAAAATTCAAAATCTCTGTAAATGTTCATTAACATTATTAAAATAAAAAAAATTACAAAAAAACCCATAAAGACTGTAAATTACAGATTGTATAAAACACAATGTAAATGAATGAAACATAATGTAATATAAAAACCAATGAAAATATTTTTTTTAAAAAAAGAAATTGTGGTGCATTCACACAAGGGAATACTATGTAGTGCTCAGGAGGAACAATTTTGAAAATACTACATAGCTTGGGAGAGACTGGAGAGCATTATGCTGAATGATCTCATAAGGACAAATATGCATAAGGTCATTATTGTAAAAAATAGAGGAATAACTAGTAAAACTTGGATGGGGACCCAAAGAGGGAGGAGTAGGAGTAGAGGAGTAAGGATGGGTAGGGGTAAAATTATAGGGTTGCACAATTTGGTAGGTGGAGGAGGGGTTGAAGGAAATTGGAAACATCCAGCAGGGATCTGAAAAGACAGGGTAATGATGGTCATAGTCCAATGGTGACTGTTGTTGTTGATTGTCGTTGAGTTGAACACAACTAATAGCGACCTTATGAACAAAAAGCCTGAAGCCTTTCTATAACTATCGACATTTCTCAAAGTTCATAGTTTCCAGAGCCATGTTGTTTAGGAAGTGGATGCCACTCCTGCTTCTACTAATGGTGATTAATTTTATAAAAATATAATGCATGGAAATGATTGTATGAAACACAATGTGAAAGAAGAATGCAAGTAAATCAATATAAAATAAAAATTACAAAAATAGATTGTTGTTGTTGTTAAAGTGCCATCGAGTTGTGGACGACTCATAGTGACCCTATGAACAAAAGACCTGAACACTGTTCATAGAGTTTCCAGAGGTAAGCCATTTCGAAAGTGGATGCCACTCCTGCTTCCTAGCTTGTTTTAATCAGGAAGCTCAACCAAACACTGTCCACCCTGAGTAACCATTATCACATTGAGCACATCAGTGTCACAGTGTTTAGCATCACAGCAACCACGAGTTACCACTATACAGCAAGGCATAGACCAGTGCCTACCAATTAGAAGAATGTTTGACAAAAAACAGTTTAGACCAGGCCCAAGGGCCGCAGATTAATATCACCACCTTGGGCTTGGTAGCATAACTTCCTATTCACTAGGCCAACATAACTCTCTCTAAAATATATAGGGAACCTTGTATCAAATTATACATAATTCTGTTTTTAGGTTCAGAAAACTTTGCTTTCATTCAGAACTAAGTTTTCTGAATAAAAACTTGGAGAGTCAGCTGAGTCAGTTCCTACTTGATGGTAATGAGTTTTATAGTTTATGTGTTTGGTGTTTTGTTTTTGTTTTGTTTGGGGTTCTTTTTAGTTTGAATTTTTCTCTCTCCTCCCCCCACCCCAAAGATAAGAATTAGGGGTAGGCACAGCTACAAGCTTTGTTTACTAATTTAGAAAGTCAAAATTAGTTATAGAAATAAATATTTGAAATATTGACCTAGAGATTTGCTCCTTGTCATTGAGGTGGGTCTGACCCATAGTGACCTTCTGAGGTTCTCAATCACTATGAGAGGAGGCTGCCCATCTTTTCCCTTGGAATCACTGGGTGATTCGAACTACTGGAGACATACAACCTTTGAGTTTAGCAGCACAATTCTGTATAAACTAGGTGACCTAAAAAGGATCTTAGGAACCTTGGTGATGCAGTGGTTACAGCAGCTGGTGGGTTCCAGCTGCCAGCTTTTGGATTAGCAGTCAAGCGCATTAACCACTGCAACACTGGAACGCCTTAAAAGTGTTCAGTTCTTCCTAATAACATACTAGTTTATCAGACCAAAATGTTAACATCGCTGAAATTCATGGTTACAAATTCTCCTGACCTATAAAAATGTTCTCTTTTGTGCTTGGTTAATCATAGGTTGAAGACTTTAAGTGATAAATCAAAAGAAGCTAAAGTAAAAAGCAAACCCAGGTAAGCTTGTGCTAACATTTCATTTACCACATATTAGATTTTAGGTTTTTCTATATTCATAATTGTGTTATTACTATAATGAACTTCAAATCTTAGTGAACTTGACTACAAAACAATTTATTTGTTCTTTCCAAAAATTGCAAATAAAATTTTCTGAAGAAATTATAAAATGAATGAAAAGAAAGTATAATAGTTTTACTCTTTGAGAATAAAAACATTAATGCTGTTTGATGATCATTTTAAAAAATATTTTTAATAGTTAAATACGTCTGATCAATCATTTTACATTTGTATTTGTAAAAGTCTTGCACTGTTGAAAAGCAAATTAATAATGAAGCAATTCCTGGCAGATGAGCTGTTGTAGCTATTAGCTGTTCTATATTAAAACATTAGTGTCAGTTGTATTTTAAGATAAATTATTTTATCAGGGTTCATTTTTAGCCTGTTAATGATGAATTTTAACTTATTTATGGTATTGAGCATTATACTAAAGTGCTAATGACATACTAAGAACCATCTTAAAATTACAAATTGACTGTTGATAGTGTATTAACTAAAATAAAACCTTTCCAAAAAATTATATTGATTATCCTCAATGATTTTAAAATACATTACAATTTTTCATATAAAAATCCTTATATATAACTCGACTTTTCCAATGTAAGTTGCCTTAAATAAGAAATAATTTTGACAAAGTATTTCTTTTGGCAGGGCTGTTTCTTGTTTGCCAAAATACTCTGCAGGTCTAGAATTACTTAGCAGGTAAGTGTTTCCATTCAGAAGGGGAGGTTATACTTCTATTTCATTATCTAAAATATTTTTATAGATAGCAACTTTCAAACAACTAAATTTTACCTTGATGCAGTGATTGGAAATTATTGACTTATTCTTTTCTCTGAGGGTGAGGCAAGGATGGTAAAGCTTTATTTTATGTACTTTGGGCATGTTGTTAAGAGGGGCTGTTGCTTGGAGAAGGACCTTGTGCTTGGAAAGATGGATGGACAGCAAAGGACAGGAAGACCTTCAATGAGATGATTGACACATTGGGCTCAATGTGTCATCAATGATGAGAATGGTGCAGGGTAGGCCAGGGTTCAGCTCTGTTGTTCATAGGGTCACTGTAAGTCTTATTTAACTTCAAGGGCACACAACTACAACAACTGGAACTTTGAGGTGTAATCTGTAGACAGTTGTGCTGCTAACTCAAAGGTGGCGCCTCTGTGGGAGCTCCAAGCAAGAAAAATGGCCAGTCTTCTCCCGTGCAAATAATAAGCTCAGGAAGCATTCTAGGAGTTCAGCATTGAGACTGTTCTGACTGAACCACAATGAGATTTGTTTTGGGGGTTGGTTTGTTTGTTAGTTTTTTCATCACCATAATTCAAAGGTACCCCTTCTTCTCCAGTCTTCCTTACTAATTTTCGACTTTCAGAGACATAGGAAGTAATTGAAAATACCATTACTTGGATCAAGCACACCTTAGTCTTCAAATGGATATCATTACTCTTTATTACGTTAGAGAGGCCCTTAACAGCAGATTTTCACAATTGAACATCTTCTGATTCCTTGTCTGATTTACCATGGGTGTTGATTGTTGATCCAAGTAAGAAGAAATGTTGGTAGCATCAGTCTTTTCTCTATCATGATGTCTATTGATCGAGTGGTGAGGATTTTTGTTTTCTTGATGATGAGATGTAGTCCATATTGAAGGCTATAGTCTTTGAACTTTTGCAATAAGGACTTCAAGTTCTCTTCACTTTATGTAACCAAGTTTACATCATCTGTATGATGTAGACTACGGATGAATCTCCCTGCTATCTTCTTCATAGAGTCCAGCTTCTCAAATGATTTGCTCAACATACAGATTACTAATTTGTCCACTGCTGTTATTGGTGATTTCTGTCGAGTCAAGCATGGCACATAGCGAGCGACTCTATGAACAAAAGACCAAAGTCTTTCTATAACTATTGTCATTTCTCAAAGTTCATAGAGTTTCCAGAGGCATGTTGTTTATGAAGTAGATACCACTCCTGCTTCAAAAATAATTTGTCCACTATCACTCTTGTTTCATATACCTTTAAATGGACCATTATTTCCGGTCTCTTTACATGTCTGTCTTACTCTTTTTGGTTCATATCAAAACATTAAGGTAATACAGTATCTTGCCTTTTACAAATGTGTCACTTACACAGTGGTTTGTGCAAAAATCTTTGACAGGCACAGACACTTGTCTTTGCTCCCTGCTCCTTCCACTGCCCTGAGAGATCTCTGATTCAGGTTAGAGGAGGGTTTTGGTATTTGAGGTAGTGCCCAGACTGATCAGAACAGATGCACTGAGCAGGCTGCAAGCAGAATCTATTCTCTTCAGAGCTTGAGATCTGGGCTCCTCTTCCAGAATGAGAGGCTTTCGGGTGGGCATAGCCTTCTGTGTTTGCTCATCACTCCCTCCTTGGCCCTGTGGGAGCCCTGATATAGGCCAGACTGAAATTTATATCTTAGAGAACATTTCTAGACTGGCCAGAACAGACATAATAAACAGACCACCAGGAAAACCTGCCATATTTGTTTCAGAGTCCAAGATCTAGGGTCCATATGTGTGCACAGGAGAATGTGGTTTGAGTGGGGCTCTACTGCAGTCAAGTGGCTGTATCCATTGGTGAAGAGGGGCTAGGAATGGATAGGGAAATGGGAGAAGACTTTTTACCACTTAAAAATCTCCTTTATCTTTCTGTAGTTGTGGCAAATTGCTGCCTTTATTGTCTGCTTATCAGCTCACATTTATATTTCTGGTTGATTTTCTTGATGCTGGTGTGGAGGGCTGTGATCTTTCCATAAGTGCTTCATTTTTGGGTAGTTGTTTTAATGTGTGGTTTACATTTTGAGCTATTTTTGCTTTTCTTAGGTATGAAGATACATGGGCTGCACTTCATAAAAGAGCGAAGGAGTGTGCAAGTGCTGGAGAGGTAGAGTATTCTAACCTTATGCTGTGGGCAGGTTTCTTTATGCAATAGTAGATAGTATTAGAGAAGTGAAATTTACAAACTGCATAAAAATATTTTGTAGGGTATCTCAAATTCAGTGTAATAGTAGATTTTGCAACCTTTTGAATAAGAGCCCATTTTAATAGTATCTCAGAGAAGTAATCTAGTTTATAGACTTGGAGAATTTATTGTAAGTCACATGTAAATATTTGGTTAAAACTTATGAGTTTGAGTCTAATGAATGACCCTTCAATGTATATAACCATGTGATGTAATTTCTTTTATCTGCTAAGAGTTGATTATTTCGGTAAAGCTAAATTTTGCTCACTTTACCAAAATACTTTGCTTTGCTTTGCTTAAGTGCAAAATTACAGAAACAAAGAAACAATTCAGTGATCATCCTTAAGTCACTAAAAAGAGAACTGTTTACGTACCATCGAGTTGAGCACAGCTCATAGCAATCCTATGAAGTCTTTCTATAACTATTGTCATTTCTCAAAGTTCATAGAATTTCCAGGAGCATGTGTTTTAGGAAGTGGATGCTACTCCTGCTTCCAAATCTGTCTTAAACTGGGAGCTCCACCAAACACAGTCTACTGTGGGTAACCATTATGGCATTTGACACCCCAGTGGCACAAGGTTCTGCATCACAGCAACCCCAAGTTACCTCAGTACAGGAAACTGATATTAAGCGTGTTGTACCACTTAGAAGAATGTTCCTCCAAAATACAAAATATAGTAGCACCCAACTTTTAAATACAAAGGGCTTTGTTGACTCTAGACAAGAGGCTTAAATAAACAACAGCCAATATAAATGTCGCTGTTATGTGCCATCGAGTCACCTGCGACTCATAATGACCATGTGTATAGCAGCTACATTATATATATACACACACACATATATATCTCACATTATATAATATATAATGAATAAAAGCAATGTGTTGTTTGTTTAAATTATTTGGTACTTAAAAGTTTATTTGCAAAGTTCAGTGTTGCTATTTTGCATAGAACCTTCTTTCTAAAGAACATTTTTGTGATTCTTTGAGTTTTTCACTGTGCATCTATACTTAAACACACACATACACCGTTGAATTGGAATTGACTCATAGCTGACCCAGTAAATTTTCTGACACTGTCAATGGCATGAGAGGAGATTGCCCATCTTTGTCCCTTGGAACCACTGGTGAATTTAAACTCCTTGCCTTTTGGCTGGCAGTGCAGCTCCTTACACACTAGACCACCAGAACTCCCTTCACTTAAATTAGCAAAGCAAGCCCTAACTGTAACATAGATTATGGGGATATATATGATAACATTTAGACAATGAGATTTCTCTCAAATTACTGAAAAGAAGAAATTTGAGGTTCTGGCAACAGGACATACTGGATCATTTGAAAAGCTCTATAATCATAAACCATTTAAATGCTGGATGAATGAGGGGAAAATAAAACCTGAATCTGATGCCAGTAATGTCTTTAAGGTGCTAAATAACATGAATGTCATTTTGAAAACTAAGGTTTGCCTGACCCAAGCCATGATATTTTCATTTGCTTTGTATGCAGTTTAAAGATGGACAATGAATCAGGAATACTAAAGATTTGATGTGTTTGAATTGTGATGTTGGCGAAGAGTATTAAATATCCCAAGAACTACCAAAAGAACAAACAAATCTATCTCTGTGGAAGTACTCTCTAAGTGTTCATTAGAGGCAAGGATGGTGAAAGTCCATCTCGCATGGTTTCAGGAGGGGTCAGTCCTTGGACAAAGACATCATGATGGGGAAAGTAGACAGTCATAGAAAAAGACTCGCAGTGAGGTGAAATTAACACAGTGACTGGGCATGACAGAGATCATGAGGATGGCAGTGGATAAGGCAAGATTTCTATTGTTCATGAGTTACGGATTATAATTGTCTCAGTGGCACCCAAAACCAACAATCTCACAAAATTTAAGGGAAATTCTAACCCAACTGAAATAAACAGGGAATTGCAATGATAGTACTAAAAAAACAGAATAAATGAAAGCTGGGGTAAAAAAAATATTAATATAATCTCCTTGCAGATTTATGATAGGAAACTTTGCCTTTGGGAACTGAATCTGAGAATTCTGTGTAAATTATATTCTTGGATCTGTGAAGTGTCTTTGTTCCCTAGTGAAGGATAAAGCTAGGGAAAAACCTACCTACTGTCATAAGTGTCCAGCCTGGAAACCTATCTTTGTAACAGCTTGACATGCAGGTGATTTTTTTCCCCTGAATTTGTCATCATGGAACTGGGCTTATAATAGTGTGGAGTTTTAATTTATACTTCCTGGATGATTAAAGAACCCTTTTGATTAGAAATTAAAGGATCACAAGAAAACTCTGTTCTTAGACAATACACAGAGCACAAATTCTCCGTGAAGGAAACTTTTCTTAACCTAAGCCTTCAGGATTTCCACAGATTAATTCAACCAAGTATGAATTTGGAATTTTAATAAGTTATCAAACACATAAAGAAAGAAACCACTAAATGCGTGTGTCACCAGAATGGGGGAAAAATGCATTTAGAACCACAGAGGACCCTGGATGTTGTACTAGTGGGTGGTGGCTGTTAGGGACCTTTGAGTCTGCTCTCACTCACAGTGACTCTGTGTACAGGAGAATCTAACACTGGCCTCCCCTGCCCCACACTCACCCTGGCCACCCTGGCCGCCCCGCCCCACACTCACTCTGGTCGCCCTTGCCCCGCACTCATAGTCTCTGCTGTACTTGTGTCCATTCTTGCAGCCACTGTGTCACAGCTCATCTCCTTGAGGATCTTCCTCCTCCATGCTGACCTGCCACCTTACCAAGCACAATGTCCTTTGGCATTGGTTTTTCCTGATAATGTACCCAAAAGAGGCACAGGACAGGACAGGGTTCAGATCTGTTATCCATAGAATTGCTATGGGTCATATTCTACATGACAACACCTAACAACAGTAACAACAATGGACAAAGAAAGACTTTGTGGGTGATCACTAGTCTAATTTATGGGCTTTAAAATGATAGAATAAAATCTTCCAGTTGGAGCTGACTCAGAGCTGGCCGTCCACTGGGTTTCCAAGGCTGTAAATTGCCCTGGGGGGTATTCCACATCTTTCTCCCCAAGTTCTTGAAAGCATGCCTAAATCATTTATACTGCAGCCCGTGTACTAGTTCACAAAACAAGCTTCCATCGGTTTTATACAAATGAAATCATAAGGAATTCTCTCTGCTCCCACTGTAAACTTAGCTGAGAGTCAGCAACAGGAAAATTACTTTGACAACTCTGAATATTTGGAAATTAAAAAATAAAATTCCAAGTAATTTATGATTCAAAGAGGAGGAAATACTGAATATTTAAAATGAGAACTGGGTGGTGTCTTTATAATATGTATATATTCATATAGAATTTGCTAAGGTGTACTTGGGAGATTTTATAAAGAAAATAGAAAAATCAGTGAACCAGAAGAGTAATACCCAAGAAAGAAGAAGGAAAGGAGAAAAATTAGTGAGATAATAAATGTAGGAAGTAAGTGAAATAACATAAAGTGCAATAGAGACGAAACAAAACCAAAGTTTTATTTTTAGAAAATACTAATACATTAGATAAATATTTGGAGATATTAAAATGAAAGCATAAATAATTCTAGAGATTAAAGGAGATGTAACTCCAGTTATAGCAGAAAAGAAAAAGGTAAAAAGTAACTGCTGACAAGTGTGAAAATTTAGATTAAATGGCAAAAATCCCAGAAATTTCTTCCAAACCCTAATATATTAGAGGCAATATAAATCTGGAATAGCCTCACAGTCTCCAAAGAAATTTGTATTTGTTTGTTTTCTTTTACTTTTTTGATGTCGCTTTGGTGCAGGTGTTTTACAGAGCAGTTTCATGTTCCACTTGACATTGACCCCTACGTAGTTTCCTGATACAGGTGCAGCACTCTTCCCCTTCCCTCCCTATGCTCCCTGCTGGTTCATGCCTCTTTGTTGCTAGTCCTGCCCTTGGAGCTTTTGATCTCCTGTGATAATTCTATTAGAGATTAAACATCTGGCCACAGCACAAGTTCCAGACCCACAAACTCTAAAAGAGAATCCCATTAAAATTATGGGAAACACATTTCAATGTTACACAAAGTTTTCCATTGTCCAGTGTCAGCACAAAGGCATGAATATACCCAAGTCACTTTAAAGGGGTAGAGTAACTTTGACAATTAAACCTACATAAATATGAGAAAATAAAATCTGAATTTTGTTCTATTTATCAGTACTGACCTTTATTGATATGTCTTCTCTCTGTCTTTTGAGTCAGACATAATAGTTGTCCAGGCATAAGTGGAGATATTGCAGACCATTGCAGTGAACTGAATACTGCAAAAAAATCAAGTCACAGTTTTAGGTTTTTCAGCATTAAGATTAAAGGTAAACTGTATAAGAGTCTTAACAAAAATTGTTTTGAATATAAGAAGCAGTTCCTAAATACATGCATATGAAAGAATTTTCTGTAAGAACTGCTGTTTGCAAAACAACTATGAGATATCATCTCACCCCAGTCAGAATAGAAAAATTTAACAGAACAGCAAGCAATAAATGCTGGCGAGGTTGTGGAGAAGCTGGAATCCTTATTCACTGTTGGTGGGAGTGTAAAATGGTGCAAA